TTCCCAACCGTGTACCAAATTTGAGCGCAATCGGCCCAGCCGTTCTCGAGATCTGGAAACGCCCCCTGCACGTGCGCACGTGCAGTAGCACCCTAACCGCAACACATGGGAATGCATTGCCTGGTGGGTGCCTACCTGTATGCCAAGTTTCAGCGAAATCGCCCCAGTAGTTACCGAGTTACTGAAATGGGAACAAATTTGGCACCTCTTATTGTTGTATTTTGCACGTGCACTGGGGGTGACCCACATGCATCGAGAGTATCCTATTTTGTGTAGAAGGGATGCTGCTACCCTACAAAAATTACCGGAAGTCAATCGCCCAAACGGCTGCTGAGATATGAGCCTCTCAAAATCACTACTTTTGCAAAACAGCTTGAACACCCTTGACTTTTCACGTGGCAGTGGCAACTGGCACGTGCCACGATGGTCACTGAGATGTATCAAAAGTAGTCAATTACGGGGTAGAAGGGATGGGGCTACCCAACAAAAAAGACCGCAGGCCAATCGGTCCAGCGGTTGCTGAGATATAAGCCTCTCAAAAGCGTTACAGGCCGGGCCGGGCCGGGCCGCTCATACTGAGATTTTTCCGTTACATTGAAAAGACTCACTTCGCTCGCTGCGCTCGCTCGCTCGTAATCAGGTATGCCAATCAGACAGATCTGACAGGATGTGACAGAACTGCCCGCAGAAGGTCAGGCACAATCGCCTGAAGTGTCTCACTCGTCTGGCCAATGCCAGGCTGTTTGAGCGGCCGAGACGGTAACAGCGGTGACCAGACTGCAGTCAGTCGGTCTGGCGCTCTGTCCCTGGCGGCAGCTTGGACATTTCACGGCTCTGCAACTCAGCCACCCTCGGGTGTCGTCGGGTAGCACCATATAAACACATGACACATCCAGCACATTCAGACGATTTGCAGGATATACAGCAATTGCATAAGATTTGCAGACGTGCTAGATCTGCCAGGTTTTGCTTCGTTTGTAACATAAGGCGCAATTCTTGTCAGAAAAGGCTTGGCTCTACACGTGTGAGCTTTAGTCTTCATGGAAGCTGAAGGCGGTCATGGAAGGAAACTGGACAGTAAACACACGAGGTGGGGGTATTGCACCCAGTTGGTCCCACATCTGTTCATATCACGAGCGGTCGGATCAGTAGTGCACTATCACAGCGACTTTTAAGTGAAAGATGTGGCTTTACTAGCCAGTTCCATGGAATCAGACACAAATCTCAGCAATGACATCACGGACTTGATAGCTAGCACTGGATGGTGGCGATACTGGTGACAGTGCCGGTGACAGCGGTGACGACCGTTGACACCACGGCTCAGCAAAACGTCCCGGTTCGAGGATAGCCGAGAGAGCTGTCAGGGATAACGGGCCATCACGTCCATAATTAACGAGCCCGCGCCGGATAGTGACGAAAGCCCCGGATCACAGCCGAGCCAAAGGCGACCGAGCTAGGCAATATTTGGCCCCATTGAAATTCAGATTCAGTGATAACCAAATGTAGGTTGACGTGATAAAATCTTGAAAGCAGGAAACAAAAACAAACCTGGAATGTTGGCCAGTCGACAATGGAATAAACATGGGGAGATAGGAAGACAAACGCATTGCGATGGCAGGATTTTTCGGGCGTGAGCGTATTAATGTGCCGAGGGGCTATCGGCAGCGGCCGACTAGAAAGAGGCGTGGTGGTGTGAGCCGCGGAGAGAGATGAGGCGGGTGATGGAGCGGGGAGAGAGAGAGAGAGAGAGAGAGAGAGAGAGAGAGAGAGAGAGAGAGAGAGAGAGAGAGAGAGAGAGAGAGAGAGAGAGAACAGGAGCATCCACAAGCAATTTATCGCGACATAGGGAGCGACCAGACCCTGGCAGGGGCCGTGCGTCGAAGACAGAACACAGAGTGCAAAAAACCGATAGTTCCGAGAACTTGATAATGTCCGTTTTCCCTAAGCAGGATGCATTGCGAAAACAAGAGCTAATATTGGAGGCAAAGGCATTTCGCGAGAATTCGGTTCAAAGGACGCGATGACACGGAACTATAATACCAAATATGTGACGCATATTGCAATCGCACTAGTTGAATTGCAGGCGAGTCATACATACATGAATTTGAATCATGTCAGCGAGTAAAAAATCAGGGACTACCCTCTGCAAAAGACTGTCCGATTTCGCAGTAAGAGGTAGCATCAGGCATGTGACTCAGAACCATTGAGTCATCCTGAGATTACCAATAAACAGCGTAAAAAAACAGTTGGTCACGAAGGCTTGCAGGCATAAGTGTCACCCAAGAAGAAATGTTACAACCTTACATATATGCAATGTAATGGCACTCGTCAAATCATTTACCTTACCAATTACCATGATATAAAAACGGGAGCGACATATTTCTGTTCCTGCCAAATCGATATAGCTTGTAAATTGTTTACCACCCAACGAAATAATGTTCGTCTGTTTCTTGTTGTAAGGTCAAATCTCCCCCTGCTGTATGACCAACTCCCCCGCTGTTGAGACAGCGCCCGGTGGCGGCCGAGACCCAGCCCAGATGAAAGGGTCAGATAATGCTCGGCGTCGGTTATAAAGGCCAGTTTTTCACAGGGTCGGGGAAGAATGTGGGTCGACCGGTACACAGACGCCACGGGTGTGCAGCCGCGGCGACATGAGGCGGAGACTGTGCAGTGTGTACACGCTCTGACCCACGTGCACACGCCGGGTACTGCACATAGGGCCGTGCAACTGCATCTCGTGCGCCACTTGCACTGTGCACAAGGGCGGAGAACACCAGGTGAAGTAGGTGGACATTTTGTTGTCAAAGAAAAGTTGTAGATATCCCTTACTGACAGGACAAGTCCGAACTGTATTTTATCTAGCCTCTCCCTAACATGCCCTTTTTATACGCAAAGCATATTTGGCGCAGATCGGGTCATACGCAATTAGGTCACTTGCCATGTAATGGGTTACAATGGTCGTTGTAACTGGAATCACACGATCTCCAATGCATTACATCCACAACAGCAACTCGCCAAATTGGCGTAAAAAAGCGGCAAGTGAATCTCTAAGAAAGAAGTCCATCACATTTTGAAACAACTAGCAAGGTCACCAGTCACCGCCACCGGAGTCTTGAATTTCACTTTAAAGCATTGTGCGGCATTTTTTCGCCACCGCGCCGCGGAAGGGAAGCCGGTAAATTCACGGTCTCAGCTCCGAACTGTGATTGGGCAACTGCCGTCTGGCACAGGGTACTGACAGTCACTCGCCACCGGCTGCATTGTCCGAAAACGGCGCCGTTGCATGCACCGTGCACCAAAATTTGCAATTCGCATGCAGCCTGTCCGGCTCAGCAACCGACAAGCGCGCGGCGGAATCTTAAGTAGACACGGACGCACCCAAAGCCGGAGCGAAACTAATTCAAATCTTCAACTGAATGCAGCGTGGACTGCCAGTTCTGACAACCGAAGCAAACGTAAGACGAGAGGCGTGGAAAACAGGAAAAGAGGAAGGAACTATCCACTTGTGGGAGTATCAGCGGCCGGACGTGCACTAAGCACTGGGCCTTTGTTCCAGAACCGGTCAGCGGCCCGGCAAAACTCCGACCAAGAACCAGTTCTGATAGCGTCAGAGCGCCAGTGCCCGTTGGAGTGAGTATGAAACGCCTACCACGTCACAGCGAACGGCAATTCCATAACTACCCGCGACTACAGCCAACTCCTCGACTGGAACATGCGTTTGGTACTTACCTACGCCGACCGCTTAAGTGTCAGGTTACCTGCAGTAGGTATAATACCACCAGGGAAAGGAGCGACGTGTCGACAGGTTTTATTGGTCGTTACCATGGCGGTGGTAAAATGAGACCGGCGTACGACCAGCGTGGCGAGGCCATGGCAGGAATCGACACCCGCCGCCATGGGCCGACCCCCGACGGTGGAATGCGCCAATTTGAAACAGGTAATTTACACCAGACCGTGGGTCCGGGGAGGGAATGGATACGGGGTGGTACTGGTAACGCACAGCTCCAGACGGGCATATGGACCACCGTGGGCTGGCAAGTCCGTCAGTGACAGTTAAAATGGCGAGCTGCAGTAATTCATACTATCAACTCAAGACTCGGCCGAAATATATGGCGCAGCGAGTTAGTTTCTCAACCGAGCATTCATTGAGCACTTTGTTCTAATTACTCGACTGCAAGTGTTGGAGCACTGAGGGGAGCCCGTCGAGCCGGTATCTCAGTTCCCATGACTTGGAACACTGCCAGGGGAACACCAACCAAACGCGAGCCTGCAGTCTCTGAAGTCGTCCAGTAAAGTTAGAATTCCCCTCGCCACTTTAACCGTCCGACCGCGAAACAAAGCTCCCTGCAGATCCCACGCCCAGCCCATTAGGAGCAGAAATAAAGCACACACGGCCGTGCATGTAATACGCCCAGGCACGTACCAGCCGGGATACTCTGACATGCAATCAGTCGATGATTCTACATAAAAGGCAGCGCTGCACTACGCCAGATGGCCCCCATCATCCGCCTTTGAAGGGCCGTGATTTGATCCGGCTCGATCGCTGCATATGTGGCTGTTTCGGACCAGACTGACTGTATTATTCGGAGGACCAAATGAACACCAGAGAAGTCTGTTCAGTGATGCATAAACAGTGCACAGACGCCGACCGCAGAAGGTTGTTACAGCGGCCGGAGGGTAAAGTGAGCGGCGAGCGACTAAACGGTGCGACCGCCGGTTCACGGACGAGTGGCAACGCTACGCTCCACAGGTGGCTGGCCTATTCAGACTGCGTGTCCCGTGGGAAAATTTATTATTTCTCACGTTTGTACTATGCACGATCCCATAGTGACTCTAACCCCGACTCGGCGTACTGAGTCACAGTCCTCAGGAAGAGTAAGGGTTCGACGATTCATGGCCGAGTTATTACGCAACAGGTGACTACTGACTAGCATTCTCCTGGAAAGGAGCACGAGTCAGCCGCGGCTTCAGCCCCGACTCTGACTCTGACTCTGACTCACCTGAGGAGGTGTGTACTACTGCCAGGATCAGCAGGAGCAGGGCTCCGGCCCTCCAGAGGCGGCCGGGAGCCGGGAACCGGCCCATCGCCACCGGCCGTGACCTGACCCCGAGGTCACGCGAGATCCACGGTACCGAGAACGTCCGGCAGCAAATCGGAGGGTTCCGATGCTCTTCGGTCCCGAGATTAAACACGGTGAGCTGAATCAACGCTGGTACTCGCAATTGCAGGTTCACAGAAAAACGTCGATGCAGTTGATTTCGAACACTTCACTGCCTCCGGCGGCAAGACACGACACCGTCAGATGGTTAAACACAGGTGTGCCACGCTGGCACACGACGAAAACGCACTGTTTGCTCCCGAGGTCCACCCAAAGGGAGCTAACCACGTGACAACAACCGACGGCCACCACACGCACCACGTGACACAGACGATCGGCGCGCACCCCACCCGACGACCGGCGACTGACGACTGCCTCGGCGCAGCGCGCTCCGTGCCCGCGGGCGGCCGTGGCCAGCTGAGCCTGGAGAAGCGGGGCGGCGGGACTGCTAGTGACATCTATTGGTGGTGAAACACACTACTTGGTGGGTTCCCTGGCTGGACGGGCAAACAATGGAGACTGAGACCGAGACGATTGACTGGAGTTACTTCAACTGTTTTGCGTCACGAAAGAAAGAGTTACGGAAAAGTTTGTCTCTGCTTTCTCGTTCCATTAAATCATCAGAAGTTCTGTGAAGCGGAGCTCGGAGTAGGGACAAATTTTAGAGCAAATGATTGTCGAATGGATATAGGTAGAAAAGACGGCATAAAGCCAACCGAATTGATCACCATACTTGGACTTATTTGAGAAAATATTCTATTAAGAGGCATTTCATTATTATCCTTTTTGATCGACACATTTAACACTGATCTGATCTCGATTGTTAGGTAGGTACCTAACATTTCATGACATCTTCCCATTACTTATAACGCATTTTAACAGACGCTTAATTTTATTGTGAATTATCTACCTACCATTCGTAGTAGTTAGTTTAAATAGTTTAAGTAACATCCTCGGAGTTGACGCAAATCGGCATCATGTAGCTTTCAACCGTAGCCGACTGCACGCTTTCGGATCATCCAGCTGCCGTCTGCCACGCCGACCACGTACGCACTTCATGACTGTTTTATGGGCGGCCGTGTCAGCCAGCCTGCAGTCATGGGTCCAGGTACAGCCACCGTCATCGCCCCTCATCCCCCCCCCCCCCCAGCACACGACCCCACGAGGCGTCACTCAGCAGATGAGGGAGTAGCGGCTCAAAAACAGGTGGGGCATTCCACGTCAAATCAAACACCGAAATCCGTCATTCCCTTCGATTTTTCTGAAAATTTGTAGGCAGACTGGGCATGGTTCAAAACTGAGTTACGTATAATATTTTCGAAATTTGATAAAGTATCGCTGAGATATAGGTCATCGAATATAGCCAAAAATGCCACACATCAATTTTTTAAATGTCTATAACTCTGGTTCCTTTTCTGGTATCAAAATGATACTAACAGGGTCTTGTAGGCAATTGATAAGGCTTTAATTTTTAATTATAAAATTAAATTGAAGTGACCTTGAAATGCATTTGACCTTGAATTAAAACGTAAAAATTTAAATAGCAAAAAACACGTCACCTTCGATTCGGGTAATTTTTACATATTATGTCCGTCACAATGTTCCTAACCATCTGTGAAAAAATTGGAGTGGGCCATTCATAACTCTCGCGGCAAACGCCGTTTTCATGCATCAACATCACGCAACCGCGCGTGACCTTGAAAGAGAGTCAAGACATGCTTGCTTGTGTACACTTTCTGAAATGAATGATTGCTGATTAGTGATATCCCAAACTCTGCGAGAATGGAAATACATAGTCATCGTAGTCAACATTCATGTTCCATAGTAAAAGTATCTGAGGCAAACGGTATTTTGCGGTGAATTTTGAGCCGTATGGAAATGCATCATGAAGCCAAAAATTCAACGAAAACATTATCACGCAACGATATCTTCACGTCTTTTTATCTTCACTATACAAAAGAATATACATTTTTGAGTATGTATGGGGAATTTCTAGTTAATCAATAATAAATATGGCAGTTAGAGACCTGCTAAGAGTAACATGTCGCGGGCTGAGGCGGGATCGGCCGACGCGGGAAACGCAGCAATCACAATTTTGTGTTTACACGTTCATATTTCAATTGTTTACCAACCGATTTTCAAAATTCTTACACCATAATATTGCCTGTACATTTCTTAGTCTTCTCACAAAATTTGACGCGAATCGAACGTAATCAGCGGTAAGGAGCGCGATGTAAAGACGGAACCGTTCCGTTCCGTCCCGCACAGTCTACAATTCAGGCGGCGGCTAGCGGTCGGCGCCGGCTGCCGAGGACAGGATGTTCACTTTACACCGCTATTACTAGACCAGTTGTGAACCGATTTTCTTCTTGCTTGCACGATGAGATGTGCAATTCAATTTTGGACAGGTAGCTATAATTAATTTCGCATTAATACTATGAGATATTGGCGAAAAACAGGAGGGGTGGGGCGAAGTTCACTCTTCCCCCTCCACTGCGCGTGCTAACATACGTTTGCATATGTGCCATTTTCTTCAAAACTTATGAATGGCCCACTCTAATTTTTTCAGAGGTTGTTAAGAATATGGTAGGCAATAAAATATATGAAAATTAGCCAAATCGAAGGTGACGCGTTTTTTGCTATTTCAATTTTTGTGCTTAAGAATAGAGTTAAGCAAATTTCAAGGTCATATATTTAAGTGGGTGCAATTCTAAACAAATGCTTAAGAAATTACCTAAACAGTAAGGTTTATTTCATTCAAATCAAACAAGTACAACCAAAGTTATGGTCGTTCAAAAATATAAAGATGCAACATTTTGTAAAAATTCGATGCCCTATATTTAGAAGACCTGTGGTCAGAATGTGCAAAAAAACATCAATGTAATGTTCGGGGCGACACAGGAACTCGCTCACAAATTTATAATGAAATCGCTGATGGTAAGGTGCAAAACAGCCGATTTTTGTTCGATTTGACGTGGAATGCCCCATGTGCTCTGTAAAGCGGCGCAAGGCTGAGTGGTAAAGACTGAAAAGATAGGCATGGGAACAAAGTTCTTTCATGATGCATGTTTGATTTGTGAGTCGCTCTTATTTTACTTGGAAGCAGCGGCTGAAAACTCACTTTAATTTTGCAGGGTGACGTTACATGCGAAATTTTTAACGCTCGCCTATAAAATATTGACAATAAGTTTGCGGTGATATAGGGCCAGGGAATAATGTCAAATCTATGTACTGTCACATATTCAGAGCCGCAAAAGAATCCCAGAAACCAAAAGAAAACCCCTTCCCAGATTATGATAAAACACGCCGGCGCCAGCCACCCTTCCCCTCTCCGCCGTGCTTCTGAGAGCAATTCCTCCCCACTGCCACCATCCCATCGCTCACTGGAGGCAGCCGTCGACCGGTCCTGTCCCACTGCATACAGACGGAGAGGGTAGACGGCCATACAAATCACCCCCCCCCCCTCCCTCGGCCACGCACCCCGCGCCCCCGGGCACCGCGGGGTCAGAGGTCAGTGAGATATGGCCCCGGGCGAGGTGTCAGTTGGTGCCCCCGGGGGTGATTTGACCACGCGCTCATTCGTACCCGTGCGGCAGGCTCAGGAGGGGAAGTAGATGGACGAGGTCTCCTTTTACCGACTTGACTGGACGCCGACCCTACGCGCTGTTTTGGTGCTATTTAATTTCGATGTGGATATTTTACCCTAGGGAGTGGTTTTGGGGAAAAGAACATATGTGTGTGTCAATAGATGGCTAATAAAACTGCGGGGGCGTTGGCGAAGCTTACGAAACAAGCGAAATGTTTCTCTCGATATAGGAGCCGGCGAAGGGTTCTTTGGCGGCGCTCAGCCTCCGGCTGAGCTGATGGTAATGGTCGAATAGGGAGCTTTAGATCCCGGGAGTGTCGCTTATTTTCATTATTTCACATTCGAAAATATTATTCCTTAGTCCTTACCGTGCGAGCATCGTGCCAAGAGACACTCACATTAGTGGATGAAGAAGTTTCGAGTTATAGTTAATGGAACTATTTCCATTACTTGCAAATGTGTTCTTCATGTTGTTTTTTCAACCTATACAGGTATTCCGACGCTTGGACAGTGGACTGTGTTGTCGAAATCAAAAGCGTTCCTCGTCGTATGCTAAATCATTGATTTTTAAGCAGATATGCACGGTACAATGCAAACAACCGAAGACGTAGGCATGGCTGAACAGTGAACATCGACAGCGATAGGTATACCGGGTGGCCCAAAAAAAAAACGTTCCGAACTTTGGAGGCCTATATCTCAAATTCGAGTGCAAATAAACGAGCCAAAATTTTCGGTCAGGTTTGCGTCACTTCTTTGCGCATTGGTGTGCTAAATTATAACACTGTACCATCTTTTCAAGCCAGCAATCTATGTTGAATTAAGTAAGACGTTTTTGCTTTTTTTTGCCGTTGTTGAACGGTAGTAATGATGCTTAGACGTACCATGTTAATTTTTTTTTAGAAAAATAGAACACGTGAATGATACCAGCACGTGTGTGTTATTTTAAATATTTTGTCCCAACTTATGTGCCAAATATTCAAATGCTAAGCCAAAATTGCGTTAATGGATGTCATTCGTTTCAACACAAGTCCTGTTCGAAGAGAATACGGTGCATGGGCTACTGCCGATCGCCCTCCCTTCAAGAAGATCAATAGTAAATCGACCGAATAAGGAAAAAAAGCTAGAGGGAATGTGCACCCTGAGGCCTGAAACATCAATGAGGCTAGTTGCCAGTAGCAGTCATGACTGCAGGCCGTGGTGCCGAGATGGAAGGGCCGTCACTCACATTTTTAGTACCTAAACATCTGAGCAAAAAAGTGATTTTTACCTGGCATGTGCTAGAAACACGAACCGTTTAAAAAGTAATCGACCGAATAACATAAAAGCATACATTTCCTGAAAATATATGCGGATTGACTATTTGAAGTTTCAATGTTGTATCTTTATCACTTTCTGAGAATATTTATTTAAAATTGGGACGTTTTTTCTGGGCACCCGGTAGATGAATATCTATCTTCTTATTCACAACGCTAAAAAAACTCACACACACACACACAAAACAATTGACTTCCCCGTTTCATCAGCGCATGCAGTCAAGGCATGCAGTAGTCCGTAAAAGTGTCTTTATTTCTACAAGTTGAGAAAAGACGACTCTTTTCTTCAGCCGTCGCACAGCTAGCGCCATGACGTTGAAACTTCCCAGCTGGCAGACGTGTCACGCTCCTCCATAGGAATTTTTGCCGCTCGGAGCTGTTAGGCATTGTAGGGTGATGACAAAGAAGGTGGCGACAGTTGCTGCGCTTTGA